TTTCAACCGGAGTTCCAGTAAAATTAAAACGTTTGGGAAGTGCTCGTCACATCGTCTAGGATTTGATTCATTATTCATTTGTTTGCTTCTTTTGGCGCGTTTTTTTTATTACTTAATAATAAAATAAGAATTATTTTTAACCGACTTAAAAAAGGAGGAGGTTCTCAATTCGTCGGTATATTTTTTTTATGTATGTTCAGCAATAATTCTTTAACATGGTGTCCGATTTCAATGACTCTTTTTTTGTTAAAAAGGGGGTACTTTAGGGGTGATCCCATATAAATTTGGCCAAAATCTAATAATTGGGTTCATGAGAAAATCATCACTCTTCATTTTTTATGTACCTTTGTTTAGCGATAATTCTTTACCACCTTGTCCGATTTCTATGATTCTTTTTTTGTTAGTAAGGGGGTACCTCAGGGGTGGTCCCATATAAATTTGGTTAAGATATGGTGATGGCATCTGCACAATTTTGAAGTCGGATTTTTAAAATTACTTTTAATCTTAAATTAACAGATATATACCTAGAACAACAATAATAAAACAAGTATTAGAAATTAAAAATTTAAAAAAACCGACTTCAAAAACGTGCAGATGCCATCACCACATCTTAACTTAATTTATATGCGATCACCCCTGAGGTACCCCCTTACTAACAAGGTGATAAAGTATTATAGCTAAACATACATAAAAAAATGAAGAGTTTGAGGATTTTCTCATAGATCCATTTATTAGATTTTGAATAACCCCCTTTCTAACAAAAAAAGAATCATTGAAATCGGACACCGTATTAAAGAATAATCGCTGAACATACATAAAAAAAAATATCGTGACGAATTGATAACCTCCTCCTTTTTTGAAGTCGGTTAATAAAGGAAAAGTCAACCACATTTTTTTTAATTATAAATAGGGATAATGCGACTAGTTTCAGTCAGTGACCATCCTCAGGCCTGTACGAAAAATTATATTGAATAAATCTTGTACAATTGTGTTTTATACAAATTACAAAAAGGCAAAAGGGAGACGTATTATAAAATTATTGTCTACTGAATTCCGCGAGATTAATGTGCATCTACGAACTCACCACAGGTAAGCAGTGTTCTTTCCGGTCACGTCGTGGATGCTTTCACCATAAGACATGGCCGACTAGCGTTTAACCATTGACGACGTGAAATGAATGACGAAAAATGAGGGAATGAATTGGTGAATGGGAAAGTAGTAGGACCTTTAAATTGTGGTACAACAAGCCGCAGGCTGCAGTGCCGTCAGGCTATAAACGGATTAGGTTGATAGAAGTGGGGGTGCGAAGGATGTAAAACTAATAAAAAAAGAAACTGGAAAGCAACTGCGTGTCGGTAAAGTTAACTTTGTGCCTCTGGGTTTGTCATATATTTCTGTCCGGCAAGTAGTATAGTTATAACGAGCGATCTGTGATTTATTGGGTTGGTACTTTAGCCACTTTCACAAAATGACATTTTACCTGAACGTTTGTGTCAAATTTGTTAAAACACTGACAAAAAAACAAAACTTATCGAATGTTACTTCCGTAGAGGTGGGAAAGTCAATGGCGAGTGGTACTATTTAGTTCCAGGATGCATGGCTAAATTTCTGAACATCCTGAATTAGTGTTTGCTAAGCTCTGCCGACAAGCACTGTATGCTGCTTACTTTGAAAATATGTGATCTGGACAGAGTGATTCGTACCTCTGCATGGTGAAGCAAAAATAAATTTTTTCTCCAACTGAAATTAAATGTCACTTTTAGTGACACTTCCCGATCATAAAAGTAACATTTTTACTACCTAGATATTAAAAATTTACTTTTCTTCTTTTCTCTTTTGAAGTATTGCTCTGCATGAACATCAGGCCAAAAAAGTTACTCTAATAAATTAACTACAAAGGCATTATAAATAAATTTGTATAAGAATTGAAGTTATATAGTTATAAAAACGGGTGTTGGCCACTTGGTCGCCGCGGTTAGTTTTGTCAGCGGGGTTCCGTAATCTCATCGACCACTTGGTCTCCAGTTTTAAAATCAGGTAGGCCTCTTGGTCGCCGTAGTTATCAATCATTAAAGGTATCTATTTCGATTTATTGAAAATAATATTTTTAAGAAAAAAATAGTTTAACTGATTTTTATTATTTTCCACGTGAATAGAAATTTTTAACTGATATGATATGGTACAGAATGTGGGTCAGGAAAAGAATAAAACCAAATTAAAAAAACACTTATAATTAATAGAAAACAATATAAAATTATACATAATAAAAAAAAGTAGGTACAAAATACACAAAATACCAAATAAAAATTATTTAAGAAACCCAAATTGCAATTAGTTTTTGTAATGATAAGAAACTACTTTGATAAATTGAGTTCGTGAAAGGATCTTATTTTTATATTGTTCTATTACGTTCGTTAAATACGCATGCCGTTTTTTGTAATTAGCGTTTTTAATTTTGTTAGGTATATGTGTACTGTTTAATTTCACATAAGTATTTAACTGAATATCGAGAATTACATTAACAAATTTGAATATATCGGGATGCGCCGAATAAAAATCAGAATTAAAATGTTTGTGGAAAGACTCACAAGCATTTGTTGTGCGTTCTGTGGAACTTGTGCACGATGCCCACACATTGTAAGCGGGAAGTCAGACGTATCGCTAGTATACGTATTAATCATATAAAGAGTATATGTATATAAAGAGGTACTTGCTCTTTTATCTGGTAAAACAAAAAATGCCAATGGTATGTAGTGTCCGTTATCAACAGCATGTATAGTGAAAAATTGTAAAAAAAATTTAGGGCAATAATTAAATGTGCCGTCGCAATAAATACTATCACGAGAACACAAGTATTTTAAATTTGAATCACATGAAAATAAAATAATTTGTGAATCTTCATTGTTAAATAATAAAAATTGTTCACCCTTATTTGTAACACATTGTATTGCTTTCAGTACACTATGAACATCACTGATACACTTTGGCAAAGGTGGCAATATACTTCTTCTTGCCCTGTATATGCTTCGTCTGATGAGGTCAACATCCGTAGTGGATACATTAAAAGTATTTCCTTCCCCTCGGATTCCGTTATTAATTAACTTACTGGGTTTAACGCAAATATCTTCTGTTGCCTTTCTTTTCAATCCGTTTTGAAGTTTTTTTACATCTAAATGGTCCGATGGTGGATAATTGTGTTCACTCTTAGATTTCAATAAGACAGTTTCCGAATCGTCCACTCCAATAGTCGCTTTACACCCACGACGAGTACACTTATATGATACACCTAACTTTGTTTCCTTGTCTTTTCCAAATGTATATTTTTTTACAATTAACAACTTTTTTCCTTTTACACTTAACATCGACTCCATTGCAACACAAACTCAAAACTTCTTTTATGGAATAATGAATAAGATGAGAATCACTTTTAAAATAAAAAAATTAATCTTTTCAGTAAGAATGCAGACAATTAACTGATGAAAAATATTTTTATTTTAGTTCTCGACAGGTCACAAACCGATATTATAATTAGAGTAATTAAATAACCCCATAATTTTCTTGGAACCCTTAATCCAGGTTTGGAGACCAAGTGGCCTATACCTTTCGAATAGCGAAAGGATTAAATTTGGGTAAAACTGACCGCGGCGACCAAGAGGTATATTCCCATAAAAACAACGATTAGAATAAATATTTAAAATGCATGAGTTGTATAAGTTATAAATAAAAAAGGTTTTCATTTTAATAAAAAAAATTTTAAATACACTGTATAAATAATCGGAGAAAAAATTATATGTTTCACACGACAAAAAAAGATTGACTGTCTTGGCTAACGCGTCGCGTGGCTACTTGGTAACAAATAGCTATTTTGTTACAATAATTTTATAAATTTTTAATTAGCTACTAGGTATATACTGTTATTGTCTCATCGTAAATGAATCGTGCTTACAAATGAAGTCAAAAATTTCTCATAATTTTTCGTCTTTTAACAGTTTCCAAAATTAGATACCGCAATACAAATATTTAAGTCCGGCCCAGTACATCTCCTTACTCCTTCCACCCAGTTTTTAGTTTCTGGCAAAATTCTCACAGCAGCAAATGCTTTCTATGTTATCTCTACCCATTCTAACCTCTTTGTATGTATCCCACTCATGCGATTGAGCAGTATTCAGTATAGAAATCTATTATTCTTGTCGTTTTTCACATTTATCCCAGGAAGAAGTTTTGAAAAGTGGATGCTGGTTTTTTGGTGTGCTCCTGATTATTTTGGATATCAGCTACTTCCACCACGTGGTATTCTTTTGCTGCAAAAAATTATTTTCTTCTTAAATAAATCATATTTACTAGATTGTTGTTACTATACTTACTTTTTGGATAATACCATAGGTACTCTCTGATGTCCCTTTTGGAATTTGATGTGTCCATAAAAAGTATACTACATGATAAACAAATTATATTTTATCAATTTACTCGTTTTAACTTTCTGGGTCCTCAGATACCAGGACTATTCGGCCTTGTGTATTCTGTGTAGGTAATGTTTTCCAGTGCCACTTTAGGAGCAAGAGTGTTAATTAGGACCTAAAAGGAAATGGTCGACTGGAGAATCCTACCTCTGCCTCAGAATTTTTATATAAATTAATTAATTAATTGGAATAAATCCCGGCCGAAGGTGGAATTCGAACCAAGGACCCCAAAGTCCCCCAATTCTTGACTAACCACCGAACAACCCACCCCTTAATCTATTTCCTACTTATTTATTCTTTACATAAATTTTCTTCATAAAATGTTAAAAACCATTTTTATCGACCCAATTATTTTTTTACATTTTTTTATATATTATTATTATTAATATTAATATTATTATTATTATTATTATTTTGCACTAAATAGTATGGGTATAGGAAATTGGACGATAATGATTACGTTGCAGATTAATGTAATAATTACCAAAATATATAAAAACAAATTTATTCAATTTTGAAAATTCATTTCTTTTTAAAATTTTATATGTAATTAAAAGTTTCTTCAGATTTACCTATAGTAATAAGGTTTAATATTTTGTCAAATTTAATGGGACTTTCAGAACCTCTCAACACAATTAAATAAAAAATACTATCACTCTGAACTGTAACCACACTATATGCATGTTTATGGAAATACGTCATTCTAAACGAAACAAGATCTTTTATTTTAGGACTGAAGTTAGAAATAATATCTGAATTATTGATAAAGTCCAATGTCTCTTTCTTTATTTCATCTGTCAAATCCGGATGGTTGTTATCTAATAGTCCTAAACAAGTGCACCATTCTTCTGGAACACCAGCCTCAGAACAAGAGCGTACCTCAGGAATTCTAGAAAACAATGACGCACAATTTGGACATCCTTGGCTTGGCTTCATTTCATAATCATCTACAGCCATGGACAGTGCATCCTGTACAGTCATATAGACATCGAAAGTACTTGTGAATTTTTTTGAGTTCATTTTCAAATTTGCATATTTTTCTGGATATTCATCTTTAAACCATGAGGGTATCGAAATGAAGTTATTGGGCAAGCGTTCTTCGTACCATCCTGTAAAGAGACTTTTTAAGTAGAGTAACAGCTTACAAAATACCAGCTGTATTTTTTAAAGAATTGAAGTGTTACTAACCTTGACGTGTTAGTCTAATTCTTCCATTGCGTACTCCATGGTCTGATAAAAGCAGTATTAAGGTATTATTAAATATGCCGTTGTTCTTCAAATCTTCAAAAAATTTAAGCATTTTGTCATCAAACCGCGAAGGCGAGTTTATGTGATTGTGACTGAAGGTGTTCATCCAAAAAATTCCGAAACTTGGTTGATTTTTAAACGTAGAAGTAAAATCTCTTGCAAGGTTTAAAGTTCTGTCACCTAAAAGTTATTTACAATTTAACCAACTATTGATTCAAATGTAAATATTTAATAAAATAACTAATGTTTATCCACAATATTTTATGACCTATAAATATAATCGTTATTAAAACAGTTATTCTTAAGTTGTCATTACCCGTCTTCTATTCATCTGAGAAGAAAAACAGATTCTATTTGTTATTTAAGTAATAAATAGTGGAAAGACAGACTAGTATTGGTAAAACAATATCACTGGAAGAAACATGCTCATCTATAACATAGCAGACAAGCATACTCAGGGTTAGTGGTAGAAAAGCATGTGATTACCTTAAGAGGTATCATAGGTCACGCCATTAAAAGGTAACCGTCTTGCCGATTCACTAGCCAAGGAGGTAGCAAACTAAATACTTTTTGGACCCATCCTTCTATTGAGCTGACATCGGTAGTGACAGACAAAATAAAAGACCATTAAGGTGTTGCCAAAGAGTTTTTAAGTTATCCTGACCACACTACAGCAAACAAATACTTAACTATGACCAGACAAAATCTGCGCCTGATCACAGGCATTCTGACTGGTCAATACCAAGTACGGAAGCATCTCCATATAATGGGGCTGTTAGAATTTGCACTCTGCAGGGGAGGCGAACAAGAAAATAAGATCATCGAGCATAACCTCTACAATTTTCCGACGCTCTTTCTAACACCGGCCAATATAGGAGAAGCATCTAGTGACGACGTTGTCAACTACATTAAATCTATAGGATGGCTTGCGAGTTAAGAGATGCCTATCATCTTAGGAGGATGAACAAATGGCCTATTGAAGCCCAAATGACGTAGGGTAACTCACCCCCACAGATTAGTTTCATAAGTTTGAGCCTTTCGTTACTAACGTGCGGACTGTGAGTCCGCACCGCCGAAAATTAATTGGTATTTACCGAACTATTCCGAGTAGGCGGCTGTATCGCTAAGTAGCTGTTGCCGTTGTGGTCCCGAAGTTAGTGTTAAGAGGTAAATAGAGCAGGGTGATGCGTGTTCGAGTTAGGCTCTTACGCGGACTCTCACTCCGCAAATGAGTGTTAATGTTAATTTTTTTTAAGGTAAATATTTTTATTTAATTTCTGCTTTCTGCTAATTATTAAACCTAAATATGTGATTACAGTGCTTAAAATGAATTACGCCAACTCTACGACGATATTGATACTGATATAGAGCCATCTGACGACGACACGAGTTTGCAGGATGATGATGAAGATATTCAAGATCACAACAAGGATGATGAGCAAGATATTGAGGACCCAAACATCTTGGATCTTCCAGATAAAATAATGGATGGAAAGGTGCACAAAAAAGTTGCATATTACATTGGAAAAGATGGCCAAACCAAGTGGAGAAAGCATCCAGGAAATTCTCAGGTATGGACAAGCGCCCTAAATATTATCAAGTTTCTCCCTGGGGTGAAGGGGAATGCAAAAGCATTGAAATCTGCAGCAGAGATCTGGAGTCTTTTTTTAACAAATGAAATGTTGCAAGTTATTGTTGATAATACAAATATCTACATTGGAATGTGCAATGCGAATCCAAACAACCGATCAGCAAGGCCCAAAGACATTTATAAGCTGAAAGCGTTTGTAGGGTTGCTTTATATAGGGTCGATGTCAAAAAATAGTTGGTTAAATGCCTCTGATTTATTTAGAACAAATTTACCAACCATGGAAATATTTCGTTTGAAAATGTCTCGAGAACGGTTTAAATTTTTGTTGCAATATATTTGTTTTGACAATAAAAATACTAGAACAGAGAGACAAAAATACGACAAATTAGCAGCAATCCGGGAAATCTATGATTCATTTAATTCTAATTTGTCTAAATATTTTTGTATTTCCGAGCTCACAACAGTGGATGAAATGTTGGTGGCATTCCGAGGCAGATGCAACTTTTGAGTATAAACGCCAAACAAACCTAATCGATATGGTATCAAAATATATTCTCCAGTAGACGCCAAAATGTTTTATACTAATTATACTGCAAACATGGACATTTATCTTGGGAAACAGCCGATTGGACCTTATAACGTTCAAACTGATGTTTCCTTCCTTCAACGTCTTTGTCGCCCCATCTCAGGAACCAGCAAAAACTTTACAATGGACAACTTCTTTACCAGCATGGCTGTTTGCTAACACACTTTCAACAGACCCTTAACTCACGATTCTTGGTACCATTAGAAAAAACAGAAAGGAACTTCCACTTGAATTTATCTAACCTACTAAACGTCCTGAAAAGCAAGCAGTTTGCATTCCAAGACAAAGCAACCATAACATCTTATATACCCAGAAAATATAAAAATGTTATCATGTTGTCAACCAAGGACCATGATGAAGATGAAATAGACAAAGCAACTGGAAAACCACAAATAATAATTGATTACAATAAAACAGAAGGTGGGGTTGATACAGTGGACAAGATGTGTGCGGCCTATGATTGTGATAGAGCTACTCGTCGCTAGCCAATGGTTATGTTTTATATGCTACTAAATATAGCTGGAATAATCTCATTCGTTAGTTTCAAGAGCAATTCAAAATATATGAATAATACACCTCGAAGAATATTTCTGGAGAATCTTGACATGCAGTTACTAGATCAACACTTACGACAAAGAGCTGTTATTAATAGGACACCTTAGAAAAATTTTACGTTTACCACTGCAGAAAGAGTTACCCGAACCACAAACTAAAAACATCAAACGACGCTGCTTTTATTGTGACAGTAAAAAAAATAAACCTACAAGATTTAGCTGTGCATACTGTAAAAATATATTTGTTTGGAACATGCCAACTACATGGGTAGTGAGTGCTTGGCTGGTGAAAGTGACGAAGATTGACGATTTTAGTCATTATTAAGTTTAAGTTAGTTGCTTTTCAAAATGTCGCCATTTTTTAATGTTAGAAATTCTGTTTTTGCTTTTGAAAATGTAATGTTTTATCTGTTTTGTATGTTTTCGATTTATGTGACTTTTACAATTTAAAAAGAATTTGGAGTTTTGTTTCTGGACTTTTTGATTTCATTAATTTACCTTCAAAATGTGTAAATATACTGACAGTAAATGTTTTTATATATTTTCCCTAAGACTGTATTTCGTTCTTTTTTCAGTGAAAAAAGATATGCGGAATGTGAGTCCGACGTTAGTATTTATGTCACATAAATCCATATTAGTAACGAAAGGTTAGTAACTAAAGAGTAATCTATATCAACGCCAGAATTTTTGCTAATAACAAGTGAATTATTGTTTTTACACTGAATTTTAAAGGATTCTTGATACGATTACTACTAAATCCTGAAGAAATTAAGTGAGCCTTACCCAAGACACTGCGAAAATATGAACTTATTACTTTTTTATAGGTTTATTAATACTTAATATATAAGAACTGAACCCAGGTAGAAAAAAAGCAGTAGCTCTTGTAATGCAGGATTTATATAAAGCTTATGAGTAGAAAGCTGCGAATATTTGCCATAAATATTTATAATTACAGATAACTGTCTAATGTCAGCTTGCTTGTGATATTAAATAAAACAGTATAATTTGTCACAAAAAGATTATTTCGAGAAAAATAAGTTTAAAGCTTTGCAATTGCATTATATTGTGGCTCATGATACCTTCCTATCTGATGAACAGCCGTTATATATCAAAATTGGAAATCAGAAATAGGCCATAAAAATAATTTTTTTTCGTCAATTATCTAGATGATTAATTCTACTAATTAACAACTCCATAACTCTGAAACCGTATTTTAAATGGGTCTTTATAGCTAAATTGATTGAGTATCTACTGAGCTACTGTAATAGTTTGGCAATTATTTTAATTATTCTAAAGATTTTACATAAATCTCATATAAATTTTCAAGTACTTCCATTCATTGACCTGGGAATATTAATAACAATTATAATCATAAATACACACATCAAAAAAATCTAGGGAACAAGGATTAAAATTGTTATAACTTTTTTGAAAATTGAAAATTTCTGTAGATATTTTTGATACCTTTTTGTGTACAATGTACATAATTTTAAAGGTTTAGGAATTGATAAAATGTGCGTAAAAAATATTTGTCTTTTATTAATAAAAATAGCGTATTAGTTTCTTTTGGTTTTTGCTTCTACGAAGAACAAAACGAGATTTTTGGTATTCCGACGACGACATTTAAACCGCGACGAACAATTGCGAGCAGTAGGGATGGTTAAAGGGGGCCAAAATTATAGAGCATTAGCGGAGGTCCTTAACACATCAGCTAGTGTGATTTGTCGATTAATGACAAGATATCGTGTAACCGGGGATGTTAGAGAACGACATACTGGTCGTACGAGATCAACTGACCCTCTACATGATCGTTTTATTCGATTACAGGCACTACGAGATCGAACTGTCACAGCAGGTCAGTTAGCAAATCAGTTATACCGCACACACCATATTGCTGTGAGCAGCCAGACTGTAAGAAACAGGTTGCACCAGTTCAACCTTTATGCTGGTAAACCGCTCCGTGTTCCCCCGTTAACAAGAGGTAATCGCGCACAAAGACTACGATGGGCACAAGGACATCAATACTGGGGACATCAAGAATAGTCTACGGTACTTTTTTCAGACGAAACCCGATTCAATTTTGATCCGGATTCACGTCGACTTTGTGTGTGGAGACGACCTGGAAATCTGGAACATCTTGCCGCAGCCCAGGAAGTCTACAGCTACCAGGGTGGTACAATAATGGTGTGGGGGGTATGCGTTTCGGAGGAAGGACTGACCTCGTTTTATTAGACAGTATTTTGGAACCTGTTGTGCTTCCATATGCTGCAGAATTTGGTCTGAATTTCCAGCTAATGCACGACAATGCCCGTCCACACACAGCACGGCTCGTGCGTGAATTTCTAGAAACTGAGCATATCAATATTTTGCCATGAACTGCGCAGTCACCAGACCTTAATCCCATTGAACATTTGTGGGATTCAATGGGACGAAGAATTCTTCGTCAACAAAGGCAGTTTGACACAAGGGAACAGCTCTTTAATTGTCTTTCTGACCTATGGAATACTACAGACCAAATAGAAATTAATAATCTCATTTTCAGCATGCCCAACAGATGCCGAGCTGTAATTAATGGACGGGGAGGTTACACTGCTTATTGATAGAGCATAAACAATCGAGAATTTTGTTTTTCTGAGATTTCTTGCATATCAAGTTATTGAGATTTTTTTTTTCTATAATTGTTCAAATAATTTTTGTTCTTGTAAAATTTTGTTTTGTGTTGGTAGTGTTAAACGAACGTTAGTATCATCAATAGCCACACAAATTTTTAAGGTAATATATGATGTCTCCAAAAAGTTATAACAATTTTTATTCTTGTTCCCTAGATTTTTTTGATGTGTGTATATTAGTTGATCAAAATTTCAAAGAAACCACGTATCAACTAATATTTAAATGATTTGGAAACGAGGGGATAAGACAGTGACTGAGTGGGCTGGACGTTACGTTGTCCGACTACACACCGACGCTACATAAAGCGTCTTAGGGAATTTTAAGTAATTGCTGAAAGCAGTGATTAAATAATAAATACCAGTTAACCGATTTTAAAGTTAGTGAAATCGAAACTACGTTTCGAGCAAGGTAAGCCTTTCTCTTTCACTATATTAAAATTGTGACAGTTTTCCTTTTATTTGCCAAATTATTTAGTTACCTCTCTTCGTAGATTTTATAGAAAGTGATATATTGTGCGATTTATTCTTATAGTAGTAATCGGTATTTTATTATCGTCTGCTGATTTACTGAATTAGGAGACAACATCAGAGTGGATCTTGTACCTCTAAAAATAGAAAATTATTTGATAGTTTTTTTATATTTAAATTGTTACATGTTTAAATATATTCACTGGTTGAACATTCACCTCTTTTATTATCTTATGTGTGTTACGAGTTGTTGACTTCAGCCCGAGTTCCATAAAGAGGAACAACCCCGAGTCCAGCTATCTAATCAAATCAGATTACTGAATAATTATTCAGGTGTACCTTTCAATCCTTAATCAATACATATATAACTCTCTGTGAAATATACCGGGTGTTCAAATTAAAGTGTTACAGTTATATACCGCCGAAAATATGCATTTTGGAAAAAAAAGTTTTAGACAAAAGTTTTATAGTTTTTTGGAAGAAACATTTTGACTAACTTCATTTTTTTATAGCTGACCATATTATGGCCATATTTAGGTGGACTTTTTATTGGTCTTTTACTTTTTGAGTAACAGCTACTTGAAACTTTTGTTGGGCAAAAAAAAAGTTGGCCATATTATGGTTAGCTATAAAAACGATTTTAGCCAAAATTTTTTCCCCACAAAACTATAAAACTTTCGTCTGAAACGTTTTTTTTTTTTATAAAAGGCGGTATTTAGCTGTAACACTTTAATTTAAACACTCGGTATATTCCATCCTCATCAGGTCTGCTTTTCCCTTTGTCAAAAGACACTCTGAACACTTTTGTGAAGCCCTGGTGAACCTACCCCCAAGTATGGACTATAGGTGCCTTTTATCATTTTGACAAACCAATAGATGATTTCAACGGAAGACATTTTGAAGTTTCAAGGTCATTGGAAGATCTTTGCGCCATCTATAAGTTTACATAACAACTAATAAAATAAAAAAGAAAACTGTAAATTATTATTTTGGCAATCTGTTTAAGGTTACGGTGTCGGTATTCATTTTTTTCTTTTTTCTTTGTCTTCTTCATTAGTTGTATATGTGCTCAGTTTTTCACCATCTCTATCTACTTAGTGCTAGGTCCCAGAGTCTTCATTTTCTTAGTCATGTGTCATGCCAAAATTTGTAAAAACAAAACAAATTAAGGTTAAAATGTCTAGTTTTGTTTTGAATTATTTTTTGCATTTATTTTCAAAATACTAGCATAGAAACACAAAGAAAATGAAGAAAAGTAAAGTTAAAAGGTAGGTTTGCACATTTTGTTTACTACTTTAAATTTCAAAGTAAACAGATGTATTTATTATCATTGTTGGGTAATGCAGTCGACACCCATTAAAAAAGGTTTTAATTTAACAAAAATCAGCCATAGAGACCTAACGCGCGCTTAGCAAGCCATGTTGATCTAGATTCCAGGTCTAGGCTATAGTGAGACTGAAAACTGAGCCCATACAATTAAGGAAGAAGGCAAGAAAAAAAGAAGAAATTTATGCTGACGCCGCCGTAACTTTAGACAGATTGCCAAAATAATAATTTACAGTTTTTTTTATTTTATTAGTTGTTATGTAAACTTATAGATGGCGCAAAGATCTTCCAATGACCTTGCAATTTCAAGATGTCTTCCGTTGAAATCTATTCTTTAACCCGCTCGCACTATTCATCATGGGGGAAATTTCTTTTTATTTTTACACCTTTTATTTTATTATTTTTTTTTCTTTTTTTTTGTCATCGTGAGAGTGGATATTGTGAATAAGCTTTAAGGACCTTTTCCCCAGACTGTGACTAGTGACAGGTGCGCTGCCTTTACACTTAACAGTGTATCCCCGTTGATGAGAGTCATTTTGGCTACTAATTTGTCATTTAGTGACACTAATTACTTTCTAAGTGACGGTGGTTATTACACTACTGCAGGATAATTTTAAGAGACATTTTGTTATAAAAAGAAATAGACGATATATTTACTCCTAGTGTATTACATTAAAGGCATATTAAAATTCTTAATGTGAAAAGTCCAAAAATAAATAGCAATAAAATGGAATACTTTTCTGCCTCTACTATAATAAAGAAAATGTTCCAAATAAATTTACAATGGACATTAGATAATATATTGTCTGTTGAAATGCTTAGTAGGAATAAAGAATAAACAAATATTTAGTGGGCATAATGAGAGTTGAAAAATCATTGTTGGATATTGTCATATTTGGCTTAAAGCAAAGCAACAAATATGCTCACGCTTACAGAAAATGTGAAAGTTTTAATTTAAATATGTAGTTAATTATAACGTACCATCTGTTTCAGGTCCAGTACAATATGGCGCTGTATCGACCTTAACTGTTCCCAAGTCTGTCGCTGCTTCGAAATAAGGTTTAAAATAATAATCTGTTGGAGGGTTTTTAAAACCATTGTGTCCATATGTGTTAAGATACGCCCAATCTTCTGCATATGCCGTTACATATCCATGTTTTTTAAAATCATACCATATCATAGGGCAGAAGTCCAATTGACCTGTGACGCCTGGTTTGCAGATACTTTTTGTGTGATTATAATCGAGACCTAAAATATAAATATGTTGGTTTTTAAAACATAATAGCAATTATTTTATAAATTTCTGCATTTAAAGAATAATTAAAAGCTATAAAAAATGATTACAAAATGATTACAAAAAGATACAATTAATTGAAAGTTGAAATTATGAGACGATATTTTAACAGATTACACTAAAGTTAGCAAATTATTACAAGCTACTGATAATAGAGAGTTGAAGTGTTTCCAGTACGTTAACGTAAATATGAACGTCAGCGCAAAAAAATAATGTTTACGTTGAAGTCCAAGATATGAGTTGAAGTTGTTGGGCCCTAAATGATTTTTAGCCTATGGCCTGTTGTACCGCTAATCCGGCCCTAGATATGCTAATGATCTTTGACCTTTTGAGAATATATTAAACGAACCGTAAGGGAACCTTTGCGTCATTGTGTATGGAAGCAACAATTTTTGTATTAAGAGAAAGCTGCATGGACAACTAATTTAATTAGTTCAAAATACTTAAAAATTATAGAACCTGCATAACAATTTATACTTTGTCATGGCATTAAAAAATAGAACATGTGAATATAACCTTACATCCTTGATTGTGAGCGGATCGTGTTGGTAGTATGACCTAAAGGCCTAATGGGAATTGACCTTAATATGTCCCTTAGTTTATATGTTAGTGAGTCATGCGGCATGAATCATGATTGGCAAATCAGATTGATTAGCATGTCTAGCTTCTGCTAGACTCTAGTAGAGAGGCCATTTCATACAAACCAATATGCCTACCAATCAGGAAAATCTTGTGAGTCTGCTTTGCATCATCTTATAATTAAAAAAGAGGCGGATTTAATAACCAAGTAATAGTCCTAGGAGCATTTCTTAACATAAAAAGAGCTTCTGATAACACCTCCTTTAAATTAATAGTAGCTGCCGTTCGTAAACATAAAATAGAAGACACCATCTGCTGCTGAATAGAAAAGATGTTAGGCGGATAGCAAGTACTGGCACAAATATGTAGTGAAACCATTCAGGTAAGTGTTCACAGGGGATGCTCATAGGGTGAAGTCAACCTAGTGGCACATGTACAGCTGAGAATACTGAACAATCAAGGACTGTACGCCCAAGGATACGTTGATGACATGGCCAACATTAGTCGAGGAAAATACCAAACGATAGTCTTTGAACTCATACAAAGACCTCTAAGGCTGACAGAAATGTGATGCGTTAGGAAAAACCTCTTGGTAAACCCTGACAAGGCACAACTCGTAACTTTTATTCGGAAAACAAGGTTGAGGATCTCATAAACTCCGAGCCTGTTTGAAGGAAGGCCAAAACAAAACATTTGGAGTGAAAAAAAACATATCTGGGTCTAATCCTAGATAGCCAACTTACTTGGAACCAATACATACAAAAAATTACCAACAAATTTAAACTGTTTCTCATTGTAGGAAGACAGGCATTTGGGAAAACATGGGGAATAAAATCGAAAATGACCCACTGGCTATATTCGACAACAACAAGACCCATGATAGCTAATGGTTTTTTAGTAGCCAAAATTAAACCAGAAAAAACTCTCAATACTCTTTTTGGTCAAAACCCGGAAATAACGCTCCAGGAATTCTTGGTAGGGTACTTAGTAAAAGTAAACAAAGGCACAGGACTATTCCAAAAATAGTACCTGAATACGAGCAAAGCAGAAGAATACAATAGACCCAAGAGACCGCATTGTTCTAAATCTAAACTACCTTCTTCGTACCGACAAAGAAAAAGGTAAATAAAAAGAGTCACGCTAGGTTAAAAATATTTAAGAAGACTTGGGTATTAAAATCGATGTCATCATTACTATTTACGAAGATAATCAGTCAACGATAAAGAGCTTAAAGCATCTTGATAATAAACTTTATTTGTACGAGACGTCTCTGAAGGTCTAATGCAAATACACTATTTATTTAATATAATTATAATGTACATGATTTTGGAAAATAACTAATATCTTACCTGTAATCAAGGCATTAAAATTTGGAATAGTATTGTCGTCAATTTTGCTGTAACCAACAAATTCCGAAAAATCATTATCTAATAAAAATTTCTTTGTTTTGGCCATATTTCTACCAAAACTGATTCTAGAAATGCCATCGATAACGACAAATAAAACACTCAAAGCTTTTTTGTTTTGTTTCTTAAGGGTTTTTGTAAGTTTGTGCAGTCTGTGGTTAATCGAATTTGATACTGTTATCAATTCGTGCACGTTTTTATAAACAGTTCGGGTTCTATCGTCGATACACTCAACTTCAATAGTGTTTTCTTCAAGTTTAACAGTTGAGTTGAAAAAAGTGCATGCTGAGTTGCTACAAAATGAAAAAAAGTTTTTTAATATCAAATTATCATTTTAAACTAAAAGATGGTATTACAATTAGTTACAGGTTTGAGTTTAGGATTTGTTATGATTATTTTAATCAGTCAATAGTCGTCAAATTTTAAATCAAGCGAGACACCTCTATCTCGTATATTGAACTGTAAGTCCCCTAACATCTACCTCCCTAACCAATAAAAATTTTTACTCACTCAATGAAAGACGAATAATTGCTTTTCTATATTTGATATACTCGTAGTTTTGTGATTATACTAAAAGCTGCATTAATTCTAATGGTACAACCTGTTGGTAGCCTATTAACAAATCCACCAATAGTAAGTCACACACATTCGAGGAGTCTGTGTGCCGCTAAGGTTAAACGTCCTAGCTGACAAAAATTTAGGTTTTGAGTTAAAGGCATATTTGTAATGCAAATATGCATCTACAACTGTTTTATTACGGAAAAACGTCCTAACTAAAATATAAAGCTTACATAGAAAACATGTATGGAAACATAAAATAGTTAATACCTCAAAACTTTCCTCATGTCAGATAGGATGTTTCAGCCTAACAGGACAGAAAAGTTATCTTCTTTTTTAAAAAGGAGGACGTCACTGATTTCAATGATTTGTGACCCATTAATATACTTTCTGTTATGTCAAGGATATTGAAAGAAATTATTAATTCTCAAAAGACATCACTTAAATCCATAGCAAATATTTTCTTCATTTCAATCTGAATTTTGAAACAAATACAACTCTAGTAATACATTGATTAATGTAATAATAATAACAGTTTAACCAAAATAATTGTTTTGAATGATTCTTGGTTTTTTTTAGTATTTTGCGAGAATGTATGTGAATGTATTTTTTTAAGATCATTTGGATTGGGGTTATACCTTTTGACACTGATTACTGTCTTCTCAGTAATATGTAATATGTAAAATACGAGGGCAGATCCCTATGCTGCACCCCTGACCCCTTTACAGTAAAATTACAGTGGCATTATATATGTATTTTTATTTTTTGACATATTCTCCCTCTACACTATTACACTTGGTCCATCGGTGCTCCAACATCTCAACAGCCTCCTAGAAAAAAATTTGTCTGACCTCTGCAAACCACCTCTCTACAGCTTGCATAAGTTTATTATTACCGAAAATGTTTTTCCTAAGTTTTCTTTTAATATGGAGAACAGCAGTAATCACTGAGGGGCCTGGCGAATATAGTGGGTGTTCAACTAATTCAAAGCTTGCTTATTGTATAGCAGCCAATGGTAATACAAGATGCATGGCTGGAAGCATTATCCTGATGGAACAGCATATCGTTCCTTTAATTTTCCTCGGCGTTTCTCTTTAAAAGCGTCCCGCAATTTAGACTGTGATGATCTGTCCCTTTTGCATCCCAGAACACAGACAGCAAAACCTTTCCAGTAGACAGCTCGACTTTGAATTTGCGTGGAGGAGGGGAACCGAGATGTTTCCACTTTGTACTTTGCGCTTTGGTCCCGGGATCATAGTGGTGCACCCATGACTCGTCCATGGTAAGATACTGACTAAAAAAGTTCTCTTTGTTTACTTGGTACCTTTCCAAAAGTCGCTTACAAGTTAATACCCGATTCCTTTTTTGAAATTCTGGACACCTATATCGCACTCATCTTTTTCATGTTTAATGGAGGCACTACACACTTCGATATGGCCTGCAGGTAGGGTTGCCACTTGTCCTTCTTTAAAAAGGACAGTTCTTTTTTCAAACAAATTGTCCTTGTGACTTATTAAACCTGAAAATATCCTTTTTAAAAACTATATTTCATCATTTTTCATGATTAACTTATTCGCAGCAGCACCGGCGTGGCCCACACTTTCCCACAAATGAAACCCAGTCCCAGTACTGTTTTTGCAAACGCACTTCATCATTTTACATATGTGCAGCTGTCGAAAAAAGTTTGGTTATTTATGTTCAATTTTCTAAACAGACCAAACAAATTTCTGCTTCTAAAACCAACATTTAAAGATCATAGTATTTTGATTATTTTGCGGTTTTAATGTTATTAGTTGAGGTAATGCAGAATTCAGACTGTTAGAGATTGAAAATTAAAACCAAATTTAAGGACATTTAAAAAGTTATTTTAAAATGCTTTAAATATACTCCAAGTGTATATTCTTCCGATTAAGCATGATATTGTATGCTTTACGACTAAATAAACGTGTTGCTTAATCAAAATTGGTTTAATTTAGTATGATTTTTTTACAAAATTCAACTGAAAATCGGTCTGTTTTAAAAACTAATATTTTTCAATACTACTGTTTTTGACTTCTCTCTTTACACGCGCATAAGCGATGTGTATTTGTTTATTTCCAAATTACGAGTGTAATGTATATTTTGTTTTTAACCGACTTCAAAAAAGGAGGAGGTTATCAATTCGTCGCGATATTTTTTTTTTATGTATGTTCAGCGATTATTCTTTAACACGGTGTCCGATTTCAATGATTATTTTTTTGTTAGAAAGGGCGTATTTCAGGGGTGGTCCCATATAAATTTAGTCAAAATCTAATAATTGGGTTCATGAGAAAATCCTCAAACTCTTCATTTTTTATGGATGTTCAGCGATAATTTTTTTAACACGGTGTCCGATTTCAATAGTTCTTTTTTTGTTAGAAAGGGGCTACTGTAGGTGTGGTCCCATATAAATTTTGTCACAATCTAATAATTGGATCCATAAGAAACTCCTCAAATTCTTCATTTTTTATGTATGTTTAGCGATAATGCTTTACCACCTTGTCCGATTTATACGATTCTTTTTTTGTTAGTGAGGGGGTACCTCAGGGGTGGTCCCATATAAATTTGGTTAAGATGTGGCATCTGCACGTTTTTGAAGTCGGTTTTTTCAAATTTTTAATTTGTAATACTTGTTGTTTCAGTGTCTACAGAATAGTAATGTGTTTTATACCCAACTAGGCATCGAGCATTTTTATTTTGTTTCCAACAAAAGACATAAACAAAGTTTCAAAAATGATTGACAATTTTATTACATATTTTATTTTAACAAGGATAATTTCTTGAGCGTAGTACAATTTTATATGAATAATTGTTTTATTGTGTAGGATGTCCCTAATGAACTTAAAGTTACTGAAATATGGCCTATCTATAAATGCTAAAGGTACTGATAAACAGTGTCAAACTGATGTAGCGGTGAGAATTTTACCTAAATGATAGTATCGCATGCATCTATAAAAAAATAAACGCCTAACTCACATTATAGTTTTTTAAAGACGATATAAAAATAAATATTGTACTGGTCCAAATTTATTCAAAAAACTAAATAGTTGTGTCTATGTTAGGTATGTACCTATATCATGATGTATACAGGGTTGGGATAAAGCATGGAATCAAGTAAATATCTTTAAAATGAAAAGGACAATATATATGAAACTTTGCAGGCAAGTACAATGACGCATAACGCATCTGATGCCATATTTTTTTTACTACTGTACTCCCGGTTTCACCGGAAATACCCTCAAGTTTTTTAATGTATATTTTTGTAGATTTTAAAAGATTTTGTTATTTCGAATTCGTACATACTAAGTTTAGATGTTTTGTGAAAAAAATCTGATTAAAAATGGGGGTTGAGGGGGTCTGTTAAACTGTGAGTATAATTCAGAATGCCACGCAATACATAATATCTTCATTCTAGTTTTTATCTGTGTAATATTTTGTACTGTGAAGGAACTGATCTCATAAATTAATAATTTTAGTTCACTTGTTTTATTTGCAAATAAAAAGTATTAAAAAAATATATTATTTTATTTTACATGTGTGAAAAATTGTAAAAATGATTAAATTTATAATAAAAACTGTAAAATGGTAGGTAAAGTTTTATATAATAATATTTTTTACACAAAAATCAGTACATAATCTGATATTTATTTGAAAATAATCTCAAAATATCAGGAAAAGTCAGGTGACTAACTAATAATATTTATAGATGGCTTTCAACGTATTAGAAACAAAACAAATATTACAATAACTAAAATAATAATTTATTTCAATTTAATAAATTATTAATCTCAGATGTACATAGAATACGTCGGGAAAAGTAGATCACTTTCAATTTTGTGCTGTTTTGGTTTTGTTTATTTTAAAAGGTAATTGAAGAGATGAAGACAATTTTCTTATAGATGATGCATAACAAATTATTGCTCCCTTTTTTAGAGCTCCAGTCTCTTAAGTCTATTTATTTTAGGTCTTTTTAAATTGTTGGTAGGTATTATTCACTTCATTTGTATGTTTTTAGTTAATTTAAATAATTTTGTGTAATATCTTGCGATTTGTTTTCTATACATTTTATCATGTATTTGTTGTCTACATCTCACAAAGGATGGCTTTGAAATACCTTTAAAACAGAGGTACTTTCCTAAAACTGGCCGAAATTTGAAACTGAATACAGTTCTTAGAGAAAATCTCCAGTAAAAAATGTCTACATGCAGAATAACAGTAGCATAGATTAACAAAGCTGACAAAAGAGTTGGACAAACCTTAGTCTAGCTTTTTTAATATTTCAGGGCAATAGTGTTAACAGCAGACTACAACAAAAACATCCAAAGTTTAGTAATCAAGCAAAATATTCTGGTATCTCCAGAATTATAAACGTATGAAAACTATAATAGAAAACATGTATGGTTTCGAATAGAAAATTAGCATATCCAGTGAATATTGTATTTAAAGAATATATTTTTATTCAAAACTTTTGTGCTTCTACTCCAATACTAACCATATAGAAGCATATGCATTTTATAGTATTTGCAAGATTCGGATCAAATGTACCCACAATTTATAAAGATTATTAAACTAAAATAAAACATTTCAAATAACACCTGCTTTTATGTTAAATATGTTTTTATTAAATACACAAATTAGTCTCAACCACACATTTTTTGTTTTGTTTTTACTTCTAGTGTAAAAGTGACTACTAATTCAGTCTTTCAAGTTTATTATT